TAAAGGTCAAAATGGGTTCTTACTTTTCTTTTCTTGAACTAGAACCCCAATAGGGAGGGTGTGGGAATTTGCAGGGAAAGATAAGACAAAAATCTAATAACATTTCAAGAGAAGATAATTTCATTGGAAGGCCACTTGTCCTTGGAGAAACTGTGTTCATGGTGGCATCCAACATCATGCACATCTGCAGAAGTTCTGAAGCAAATCAGGCAGAGAGGAGGCAGGGTTCTTATTCTCAGCTTGTGTGTGATGAGTAGAATTGTTTTTCAGGTTTTTGTCATAGTGTGTATACACTCACTGGAGAGGGAAAGTGAGAAATCATTTCCCAGGATGGATGGCCATGCTGCAATCCCTTCGCCTACATTCTCCTCCTGGGATTTTGGGCACATATGCACTCATACCAGGCATGATTTCAAGCAGCCAGGTCTGATATCTGTCAGCCATGTGGGAGTCCAGCACCTCAAGTACTATGCCACCTGCTGGTCCTATTAGTAGATTTTAAAAATTCTACAGAAAATGCTGAAGAAGTGAACAATTCTGGGTTTCGGATTCAGGATGCAGTATGCTAACATTTTCAGGTAGGAATGGTTGGGACCAGAGATTCTGTAAGGACAGATATCACAATGCCCTAATAACCACAGAATGAGGCATACCACAGTTGTTGTGAGTTCGGGAGCAGATCAAGTCACCCCACTCACAGTGGATACTGGAGAATGTTATGCATTTGTAGAACCTGTTTGTTCTTCAACATCTCATGCCATGTAAAGACTGCAAAAGGCCCACTCAAAAGGCCTAGGTGTTCCCTTGGAAATGTGGAACATTGAGAGTTTACCTAAAGAAATGTTCAAATTATTGAATCAGACTAAATTTGCCAGATTGAGAAATTGGATCAAATTCAAGAAATGAAGTTCCATTTGTCTTCACATCTCACCCTAGTGTGTACAGTGGTGACCCTTCTACATGGCCCAATGATCGTGCCAAAAAATCAAATGCCAAAGTGTTTCAGTGCCACTGATGTCTACAGCTTAGGACTCATTACACAGGATGTGGTCTATATATGTGGTGTATATATGTATATTGGAAGTCCCTGTATATATATATATATATTGACTGGGGTTTTTAGGACCTTAAATCAATGTGGATGAAACTGTGACATCACATTAATAACATTATTATGGAATAACATATTAATACAAAAGGTATTCCCATACGTAGAAAAGAAATAGGAATGACAAGCTCTTAAGTAAAAACAAAAAAAAAAAATTAAAAACCAAGTGTATTCACTGCATGACAAATAGGTTTTAGGAAGAAATTAGAAGCCGAATTCACTTATATTTAAAAACAGGGACCAGCAAATACGATAATGGTTATATTGGTGGACTCTCACATAGTTATCAGAGGTTCAAGTCCTAGACTCGGTGGCTGAAAACATGCTGGGCGCATGTGCGTGTGTGCCCAAAATCCTGAGAGGAAACTAGAGGATAAGGGATTGTGGTGTGGCTATTTTCCTGGAGGGTGATTTTTCGCTTTGTCTCTCTGTCTCTCTGGCAAGCACGCCCTAAAGCAAAAATCTAATAAATAATAAAACAGGTGGAACTTGTGCACATTCTGTTGGTGTTAGCTGTACAAAATGGAGACCCACTTTAAAAATAAATGTATCAAGTGGATAAACAAAGAACACATTTTTCTAATTAAATACATTGTCAATGAGATAGAAAAGTGGCATGACTTTTCCAACAACCCTCTATAAATGGCATTACTATTACGAGTACTGCAATTACATCTAATATTTCAGTTAACCAAATAACATACCAAAAAAAAAAAAAATGTGGGCTTCGGATAAAAATCTCTCAGGGTACTTTGTGTATTCACAAGTGCTTCTGAACTCTCTTCCTGCTTCTCCCTGCTGAATACAATGATAAACTCTGAAAATAATGCAAGAGACCACTGAAGGGAAGAAAGAGAAATTTGGGCTGACTCATGACCCAACCCCAAGGAGTGAGAAACAACACAAGGCCCTATGTCTTATCCAGCAAGAAGAAGCAAATGCACGCCTGGTGCTTCCTGACACCAAGCTTGGGCAGAAGATAATTTATTTAGGCCCATTCCCTGCTTGGATCAAACAGTAATCCTACTGAAAACACCAGATGAGTTGGCAACACCTGCTGTGGGACATGGAGCAAGAGTCCTGCAAGTGGCCAAGGTCAAGACCAGGGTGGTGATCCTGTGTCTTCAGGAGCAGAGGAAGTCCTCTCCTTCATGGAGGCATCTAGGTCCTAGTGGAGGAACTATACCTTCCTTGTCAAGGAAATCCTCATCACATCAACCCACAAAACTAATCATGATAAAAAATGGACAAGAGACTTACATGATTCATGGATATCAATGCAAAAACAAATGGAACATTAATAACTAGGATGCAGGAAAAAATTTTAAAAATGTTAACTACCATCAATGGATCTATTTCAGGAATGCAAACCTGTTTAATATTTCCAATTTTTTTTGAGAGATTTTTGCTATAGGGTGCATGCACTCGCCAGAGAGAGACAGAGAGACAGAAAGCGAGAAATCACCCCCCAGGGGGGATGGTCACGCTGCAATCCTTTCTCCTCCATTCTCCTCTTGGGATCTTGGGCACGCATGCACATGCGTCCGGCATGAGTTTTAAGCCATCGGGTCCGGGACTCGAACCGCTGTCGACTACGTGGGAGTCCAGCCACACAGCCATTACACTAACTGCTGGTCCCAATATTTCCAAATCTTTTAATTTCATGTACATATTATTAAATCTAAAAAAGTCATATAGTCTTCCTATGTATTACAAAAGAATAAGGAAATTCAATAGCCAATATTTATACAAAGAAAATGTATAATAAAATAAGTATAGATGGGCTTTTCATTGATATAATGAAATATATTCACAATAATGCTAATGGTAATGTCATAAGAAGTAAGGAAACCACTAGAAGCATTCTCATTAAAGTAAGAGATGGTACCAGAATATTTGTTGTCACTATTAACATTTTTCTAGAGCTATAAGCCAGTACAATTTTATCAGAGAATGAAATTAAATAAATGGAAAGGGGAGAGACACAATTCTACTTATTGGCAGATTGTACAATATTATATCTGAAAATATCTTAGAGAATTAGGAAAATGGTTACATAAGATGGGGGCATTCAAAATGAATATATATAATTTGTGCATAATCTGTATTTTACAGAAAATTTATAATATCACATAAACAATAAAATAGTTGGAGTACATTTAATAAAGAATGTGCTGGCAACAGCAAGGTTTTACTTCTCAACTTTCTATTATGCTCCACTGACCTTTTTAACAGTTCTTGTGCCACATTTAATCATAGCTTTATAATGTGTTTTAATATTTAATGAAACTAGTTCTGCCTAAATATCCATCAATAAAAAAATCTTATTTTATCTCTAATATACTATTTTGCAACTGTAAAAGACACTTTGGGAGGGACCAGCAGATGGCAAAATAGTTATGTCACTGGACTCCCACATACTTGACCTTGGTTCAGGTCTCAGACCTGTAATGGCTTTGTGGCTGGACTCCCATGTAGTCCACCGCGGTTCGCGTCCCGGACCCGGTAGCTTAAGCTCATACTGGGTGCATGTGTGTGTGCGCAAGATCCTGAGAGGAGAATAGACGAGAAGAATTTGCAGTGTGGTCATCCCCCTTAAGGAATGGTTTCTCATTTTCTGTCTCTCTATCTATCTTTGTCTTTCTGGCAAGTGTACACACCCTATAGCAAAAACCTCTCTTAAACAATAAATAAATAAAAGACACTTTGGATTATTAAAATACTGATACAAATGTTTTTGCGTATTTTTGAGTGAAATAAGTAAGGCACAGAGTTTTGAGTGATTATGCAATTGTGTGCATAAAGCACGTATATATTTTTAGAATTATTAAAAAATATCTGGAATGATTTATAAAAACACTGATAATATTGTTTTTCTCTGGAAAGAACTGCTAAGTCAAACACAGAGAGAGGTGGGAGATCTGTGGTGTCAAAAGTTTTGTTCTATTTATTTATGAAATATAAGAATGTATTATTATTGGGGCCAGCAGGTGTCGTGGTGGTTAAGTGTGCTGGACTCCCACATGGCCTACCGGGATTTGAGTCTTGGACCTGGCTGCTTGATTTCTCACTTTCCCTCTCTCTCTGTCTTGTCAAATTAAACTAGATAAATAAATAATGTTAAATAATTTTTTAAAAATGTATTATTAATTAAAAATAAGTACATGTAAAATTTGAAATATAGTAGTTTCTACCTTTGAATCTCTCAAAATGCCTTATAAATTTTTCTGTATTAAAAACTAAATTTTATTATTCATATGTAGATATTACTTTTCTCTCTGATTTTTTTCAGACCATAACTTTCTAAACTACTGTATTATGTTTTACTTCACTAAATTAAATTTACTGGGTAATATTAAATTTTACACATATGTAAACACTATTGGAGTATAATATGTCCTTTTAATTAACAAGATTGTTACTATTCTCATGATACAGTGTGTGAAATCTATAAAGGAAAGTTGATATAATGCCTAAATATTTGTTGAATTTTTACCACACAGGAAAGTATGGGTGGTCTTCATTGTAGACCAGTTTCAAATAGCCTGCTAAGCCCTCCAACACTGTACTGTCTTTGTTTTATCCCTTAATTTACATGTAACTTTTAAATCCTTTGACTTATCCCTTAATTTACATGTAACTTTTAAATCTTGAAAAGGAAATCTCAGTTTTGAAAGTTGGCATTTCTTATTTCATTCTTTCTATTGCCTTATATGTTCACTATTCCCTCTACTCTTCCATCCTCCCATCCATGACCTCGTCAGGTTGTTTCACACTACCATATAAAGGTAGGCCCAGATTCGATGGTATTCTTTTTTTTTTAAATGTATAATCGGCATTTTACTTTTTCCCAGAGGACAGACAGTTCTTCAGTCCTTAAAGACTTGACTCCTTACATGGGCTTTGGCGAAGGGCGAGGGGCAGCACCCTCAGGTCTAAATCGGGGTGGGGGTGTTCGGTCCTTGCAAGCTTCATGAGATGGGTTCTTGATTACCGTGCTATGAGTGGTGCAACTCTCACAGTAACGTAGCTTCACATACAGCTTGGGGAGCACATAGGCATTGAAGACACTTGCTTCAGGTGCAGCCTCTACTATGTTTCCGGTGATGAACTTGTTAATAGCCTCGTCCTTGGGCATGCATTGGGCACAGTTTGTGCAGCGAATAGGCTGCACATGGCCACGGCCCTTTTTGGCACGTCCGTTATTCCTTTTTACTTCATCTTGGAAGCGAGGCCTCTTTAAGAAAAGCAATATAAAGCAAATATTTGTTTAGAGGGAGACATACAAGTTGCATATTTTGACAAGCTGATCAAAACTGAAAGCATTATAAAATCCAGTAAAATAATATTTATTAATTGCCTAACCTACCTTAATAACACTTTTTCCTCCTAATGTTTTTCCCTCCTTGTTCTTTGCCTTATCCTATAACTACAATTTTGTAAAACCAGTTTCGGTAGAGAATGCAGGAAAAATAATTTAGCCTTTTTTCCAGCATCGTTGATTGAGATAATTTAGAAAAGTTAACTTCACAACACATCACTGGTAACATGGAGATTTTTAGGATTGTGGTCGAATTTGGATAATCCTCTATCAAGTTTCTTTCATATATAAGCTATAAGAGTTCAAGTCATTTCAAGCATTCTTGGACCATGACTGATCTTATATCCTCTTTGAACTGACAACACCCATTCACTCATGGAAGTGGTGTATTATGAGTTTTCACTATATTTGTCAAAGTCAGCAAGAAATTTAAATCTTTTCCCAACATGTTCATACAATTTACTCTCTTTGTTAAGTAGTAAAGTCCAAAATGCTATTTATTATTTCTTTCTGGAAATTTTTCTTTTTCTTTTAATGAGCTACATACATCTTTTAGTATTATAGAATTTTTGTTATTTATACAATTTGCTTCTTGATGTCAGTCATTTATGATGAATTCATTTGTTACTTTTGTTTTCTTGATTTAACTTAATTTCTCTTAATAGTCTAACATTAATTTTTTTTTCAAAGAGAGATTTTTGCTATAGGGCACATACATTCACCAGAGACAGAGAGAAAGACAGAATGTGAGAAATCACTCTCAGGGGGAATGGTTATGTTGCAATTCCTTCTCTTCCTTTCTCCTCTCAAGAGTTTAGGCATGCATGAACATGCATCTAGCATGAGTTTTAAGCCATCAAGTCCAGAACTTGAACCTTGGTTGATTATGTGGGAGTCCAGGGACATAACCATTACGCCACCTGCTGCCTTAACAATACATTTTAAGATGACAAAAGACAGTACCAAAGTGATCTTAATAAAGCACTGTTCAGTTCGTACATTCCCCTGCCTAAGATGAGATAGTAAATTGACTTCCCCTTTTAGTCAGTATTAAATTGGAACCAGTGGTTGTGTACCATCTGGTCAACCTTACCTCTCAGACTTTCCTCCTGCCATAACTTCCTCCTGTTTCTCAGGATTTGGCTCCTTTGAATTTCCTTTCTGTCCTTGGATGTACTGACCTTGCTCTTAGACCTGCTCTTTCCTATTTGTGGGACTCTATTTCTTCAGAATTTTGCATTGAAGACTCTTATTTTTATGTACCTATTCACTGAAACTCTTGTTAATTACTCTTCCTAAATAAATCACACTTTCCAATCATTATTTTATTAAACACTTAATTGTCTTAAGCACTAAGGGAGGAATTTTTAGATGTTTTGTTTATTTATTTATTTACTTATTTTGAGAGATTTTTGCTATAGGACATGTGAGTTCAGCAGAGAGATATAAAGCGAGAAACCACACCCAACAGGGGAAGGCCACGTGGCAATCCCCTCTCTTCCATTCTCCTCTTGGAATTTTGGGCATGCATGCACACACACTTGGCTGGAGTTTTAAGTTGCCAGATTTGGGACTCGAACCTCAGTTGACCATGTGGGTGTCCAGTGCCTTAACCACTACACCACTTGGTGGCCTCAATGGAGGGAATTTTAAAAATTCTCTTGTTTATTTGTTCTTTTGATCATGTGTCTGTTTTATTTTTGTTTTGTTGTTTATTATCTGTCTCCCTCCCCTAACCTGGGTAGCCAGTTTTTTGAGGACAGCGATCCCATTGGCTCAGTTTCTCCTTAGGGCCATAAACAGGGCTTACAACAGAATAGGCTCCAATATGTAGCTGTTGAATGAATATATATGTCATGAAAACATCCTTTGGCCCACATAAGCTTAGACAATACATCACATAGCAACTTCTCAGATATTTACATTGAATATTATTATTCTGAATGTTCTGAGACTTTCTGTAATAAAGACGTTTTGTTTTGTTTAATCCAGAATTTCACAAAATTATTAACCACAGAAGTTTTCATTTGTAAATATATCATCAACTAGCATTCTGTAAATATTCACACAAGCCTTTATAATTACAGGATTGCTATCTAAAGGAATTCTATGCCATTTCATGAAATTACTTAGGGTAAACAAACATTGGAAAATAACTTTTTCAAACTCTGGTTTATTCATTTACTCATTCAAGTAGAGATTTTGAATATCTTCCATGTACAGACCTGAACTCATGCCCCAGAGATACAGTGAGCATCATAATTCTAGCCTTCATAAAGCCTAAGCACAGATGATATGGCATAAGAAGCACTTTGCTCCATAGGAACTTGTTGGAGAAGCATTTATCTCAGTCTGGGAAGGCTATCTGATGAACTATGACCTAAGCTATGACATGAAGGATAATAGACTTTTTCTGGATGAACAACTGGAGAAGATATCAAGAGCAGTCTGTGTATAGGACTTGGGGCAAGAAGCAGGAGTGGGTATGAGGGGGACTGGAGGAGTCCAGTGTGGTTGAGTTTAAGAGACAAGTGTTGAGAGCTGAGGACAGAGCAAAAACACAAAAGAGATCTGAAATTGTTAACTCGTTTAATCTGTTCTACTAAACTAAATGTAGAACCACTGAGGTTATTTTGTGCAAGGGGACTTCAAAAAGTTCATGGAAAATGATATTAAATTATGAGTTAATTTTGAGTGCAAACAAATAAATCAATAAAGTCCATGTATAGATTTTTCATGATATGTATTTTATCTTTCTTTCTTTCTTTCTTTCTTTCTTTTTCTTTTTTTCTTTTTTTTAATTTTGGAGAGAGACAGAGAGACAGAAAGCAAGAAATCATCCCCCAGGGGGTACGGTCATGCCACAGTCCCTTCTCTTAGGATCTTGGGTATGTACACACATGCGCCCGACATGAGTTTAAGCCACTGGGTCCGGGACTTGAGCCGAGGTCGACTACATGGGAGTCCAGCAACATAGCCATTATGCCAACTGCTGGTCCCTTCACGATATGTATTTTCTGTGAACTTTTTGAAGATCCTCTTCTATTGTTGACATTGTATTTCCAGGGCTTATCCTATCACTTGGTGATGATGAAATATTTGGTAAAGCTTTGTAAAATAAAGTAAAATAAGTTGAACACCAGAATAGTCTTTCAGTAATGGTATCAGTGAGGGAAATAGCTTCTGTGAGGTGTTCTGCAAACAGTAGTTAGTTCATTTACTATGCACAAGCAAGCAACCTTCGAAGTATATCAGAAAAACAAAACACAGATGTGATAGCAATTGCAGGCCTTTTGATGGGGCAACTTGCCAGAGTAACTGTCTCAGGAAAAAGGAGTAGCCATTCCTGACACAGTTGGGAATAGCTTTTTAGTATTTTGAGTAATTCTAAGTGTCAGGATTATTTAACTTTTTAGAGTGTGCAATATAAAACAAGTGGTAAAATCAAGGGGAAAGTCTAAAAGGAGAAAAATAGTAGATGCTACAGACTTGTTTCCACTAGTCAGTGGTCAATAGAGGATGTGTAGACTCTGTCCCTTGGTCCCATCTGGAGGGTTCTGTTGTTCTTACATAATAAATGAAGCAAAAGAAAACAATCAAGGGTGGAGAAACAGCGGGGTCTTCACATTTTGCTTCCCTTATGGCTTCTTTGCCAACAGGAAGGCAACTCTTCTAACTGAGCCAATGAACACTTTATGAAAACTGCTTTAATCCCAGACTTTCTTAGCCTCCTGATGAGCCAAGTCATTTTTGGGTAGCTCCACATTTCTTATTTTGGCCCAGACCCAGGGCTTTCTTAAACCCTGAGAAGTCATATGAAGATGATTATATAAACTTTCTGTGACTACTTCTTTTTTCAGAACTCAAAACCAAAGAAATATTTTAACATTTTATTATCTCTTTATAGTGATTATGTCTGACCACACTTTTATAAGGGGAAGAAAAATGCAGGTTTTCTTTGGGAAAGGAAGACAGTAAAGAAAGAGCCTATTCCTTGTGACAGTAGATTTGTGAAGAATTGAACTATGAGTGATGGTTTTGGAGAGAAGATCTGACTTCCTCCTGAGCTCTCAATGGTTCCTTACCTTTTGGCTAGACCACATCTTTTTATGTTTTACAGTTTTCTTTGTTTCCCAATTCCTGCCTAAAACAAGAAAAAGGTCTCTTGGCGTTATGAATTCTTTATTTTAAAAAATTGGGTGCTCTCAAAGAGTAAAGCTACTGGGCCACAGGCAAGAACTTGCTTCTTTAGGTTGGTCAAGAATAGGAGACTCCTGAAATTTTCCATTGTTTCCTGTTTGCTCTTGGTCCCCCATATTTTGCATCTTTGGACTATTAGAAAGAAGGATGCAGTAGGAGGTTTTGAGAAGTGTTTTGAAATAGGCTGTTGTGTTGTACCATGCACCTATGGTTGACTTTGAGCTCCTGAAAGTACAGTTGCAGTGCTGTATCTGCAAGGTTACACGTTGTATTAGGGACATGACCTGTCAATGAGTATCTCTCTTTATAAATCCCCACTGGTTATAGGTATGAGTGGTGATGTTACTGTTTTATTTCACACTATGTGACATATGTTGGGGCATGACATACTTCTGCTGAAATCAGACAATGTAGAACTCCGCTCTTCAATTCCATAAAGCTTTGCTTCTAATTAATGAATTCCTACAATTTTTTTAGGCTGGTGTTTTTTTTTCCAGTGAGTTTAGAACAAGAAGTCAACTTTTTTCTCAGACTTACGCTGTCTTCTAAATTCTAGGTCTTTATGCTACTACTGATTATCTAACATCTTTAGGTGTAGTACTTGAGTTCAGTGTGCAATGCTCTCAGAGGCATAATATGATATCAATCATCTACAAAATGTTAGCATTTCATTAGGATTAATGACTGTAATAATACTAAAATACTCTGTGAATGTAAGAGTATCCCATTCATTACTAAATTCCTAATATTTAAAATGAAGTCTTAGATATGATTTAATAAAAAGTTGTTATTTAATCTGTGACTTAGTTTAGGTTCCCACAAAATAAGACCTGAGGCAAGGATTTGAATGCATATAGTTTTTCTGAGAGGACCAGGACCAGGATCATGATAAAAGGACTGGGGCAGTGATATAGGGAGTGGAAGGTAGTCAATAAAATGTGTATTATTTTGTCTGCTACCATAGTAAGCAACTGGAGTTTAATCTTATAGGAAAACTCTGGAGCATACAGCAAAGTTCATGTCTCAGAAATTTTCCAAGAAGCAAAGGAGTCAAAGTCATTAAATACCAACTTCTGAAAGTAGATTAAAAGGTTGTTCCTAGTGTTATGCATTCTCTATCACTTGGAGCAGACTTTGCTCTCACCAGAGTGGCCTTTTTTTTTTTTTTTTTTTTTTTTTTTGATGTTAGTATGTTCATAAGTGTACTTTATTTTTTAAAATTTTTTAATTTCATTTTCTTTTATACACTCAATCATGTTATTTAGCTTACAAAGTGAATATTCCAACATGTGAACATTTCTCCCTAGTCCATTTGATAAAACTATAAAATTATCTTCGATAGATAATACTACATTTCTTTGTCCCATTAATGTTTTGCCTCTCTATTTTCTTCTAAATGTCCTTCCTCAGACCCTATTCTTTCACACACACTTTATCTGGTATTCACATACATTTACTGTGTTGCTATATCCTTTAGTCAATCAGTTTCAGTCATAGAGTGTGGATGCTCAGTATATATTAAGTGGGGACATACAGTGTTTCTCCTTCATAGGCTGGCTTGCTTCATTCAGCAGTAAATCTTCTATATTCTTCCACTTCCTGTCAAAAGCCAGGGTCTTGGTGTTTTTTATGGCTGAATAGTATTCCATAGAGTATATGTGCCACAGTTTTTCAATCCATTTATCTGGTTGTGGGCATCGTTTCCATTTTTAAGAAGTGTTAACCAGTGCCGCCATAAACATCGATGTGTAAGCACTTTTCCAATTAAGGACTGTTCTGTCTTTTGGGTAGACACTAAGGAGCGGGATTGCTGGATCATATGATACTTCTATTTGTAGATTCTTGAGGAATCTCCAAGTTGTTCTCCACAGTGGTTGGACCAATTTACATTCCCGCAAGTAGTGTAGGAGAGTTCCCCTTTCACCACACCCCTGCCAGCACATATTATTATTATTATTTTTTAATCTTATTCATTCTGAATGGGGTTAGGTGGTATCTCATTGTTGTTTTGATCTGCATTTCTCTTACAATGAGGGATGTTGAACATTTTTTTGGATGCCTTTTGGCTATTCGTATGTCATCCTTAGAGAGTGTTTTTTTTTTCAACTCATTCTCAGGGCTGATCATCTTTTTCTCAGAACCACTGCTCGAGTTTCTTGTATATTCTGGTTATCAGTCCCTTATCTGACGCACGGTTTACAAAAATGTTTTCCCATTCTGAGGGCTGTCAATTCATACTAATTACTGCGATAGAATAATTCCATTTACCATAGCCACAAAAAGTATAAGATACTTAGGAACAAATCTAACCAAAGAAGTTAAAGACCTCCACAAGGAAAACTACAAGAAGCTAAAAAAATAAATTGAAAATGACACAAAAAAGTGGAAGGACATTCCATGTTTCTGGATTGGAAGAATTAATATGATCAAATGGCAATTCTATGCAAATTAATCAACATATTTAATGCAATCCCAATCAAAGTACCACTTTCTTCACAGATCTAGAAAAGACAATCATACAATTTGTCTGGAATCATAAAAGACCCCATATTGCCAAAGCAATCCTGCACAAGAAGAGTGGAGTGGGTGGTATCTCACTCCCTGAACCAAAAATATACTACAAAACTGTGGCAATCAAAACAGCATGATATTGGCACAGAAACAGGTGGACCAATGGAACAGAATAGAGTCCCTAGAAATAAATTCCCAAACATACAGTCAACTGATTTTTGACAAGGAGTACCAGTCAATCCCAGTGGGAAAAAGAAAACCTCTTCAGCAAGTGGTGCTGGAAAAACTGGATTTCCATCTGCAGAAAGATGAATCTGAACCCTTACCTCTTGCCTTTGACAAAAACCAACTCAAGGTGAATCAAAGATCTAAACCTAATACCACAAACTATGAAACTGTTTCTGGAAAACACTGGGGAAACTCTGGGAGACATTGGGGTAGGCAAAGACTTCTTAAATAAGGCCCCCAAAGCACAGTTGATAATCTCCAAAATAGACAAATGGGATTACATCAGACTAAGAAGTTTCTGCATGGAAAAAACCCACAGTAATTAGTGTGAATCAATAGCCCTCAGAATGGGAAAATATTTTTGTAAACTATGTATCAGAGTGGTTTAAGAACTAAACCCTTGGGACCAGCAATTAGTGTAATGGCTATGTCGCTGGACTCCCACGTAGTCAACCATGGTTCGAGTCCCGGACCCGGTGGCTTAAACTCACGCCAGGCGCGTGTGCGTGTGTGCCCAAGATCCCGAGAGGAGAATGGAGGAGAGAAGGGATTGTGATGTGGCCATCCCCCCCTGGGGGGTGATTTTCTCTCTTTCTCTCTGTCTCTCTCTGTTTGTCTGGCGAGCGCATGCACCCTATAGCAAAAACCTCTCAAAAAAAAAAAAAAAAAAAAAAAAAAAAAAAAAGAACTAACCCCTCAGTGTCAGAGATGCAACTGCAGGTTGTTGGAAGTTCCCCAGCCTCAATGTGAGTGGGAAGGGAATGGAGGACAATTTTGGACACTGAAGGTGGTGTGAGAGGAGGGTGGGAAGGGACAGAGGGTCAGAAAGAGGGATGGAAATAATTCTAGCAACTAGAATTGGAATTTTTTTTTTTTTTTTGTAATGTGCATGATTGAGTCACTATGCAGTGTGTACTGGATGGGAGATCGCATTTTGTGTGCTGTGATGATGCCTAGGGAAGGAATGTAAATTGAGTTACAAAAAAAAGTTTCAGGAAAACAAAATGTATCTATTCAATGACTGCAGTAGGATATGTAGCCCCAGTTAGGTGCTAATTTATAGGATGCGTAAAGTTAGACTTGTGCTCATGGAAATGTGTGTGTCACATGTGTTTGCTAGGAGGGTATTTGGATTGATGAGGGTCTTTGGTGATTCAATAAAATGTGGGGGGAAAATGGTATAGAAATAGATAACAGAGACAGTGTGGGAGGAGAACAGGAGGTGGCAGAGGGTAAGAGAGAGGGAACCAAGGATGGGGGAGAAAAAGCAAAACATACAGAAAACAAGAAATGGAAGATCATTTGCTAATAATAACATGTTTGTTGATGTGCTTGATTGAGACAATATACAGTGTACTCTGGATGGAAAATCTCATTGTGTATGCTGTAATGATGTACAGTGGATGAATGCAAATAAATTGGAAAAAAAAAAGTATAGGGGCAGAGTAGTGAAGGTGTCTGCTCAAGGTAGTAAACTTTTGTTTTAAATTAATTGTTAGATAGGGCTTGCACTCACCAGAGAGAGTCAGAAAGAGAAAGATGGGGAGAAAGCACACTGGAGTGAGGTGTGGTCACACCACAGTCCCTTCTCCATTTATCCATCTTGTTGAGATATTGGGCATGTACACACATGCTCCTAGTGTGTTTTTCAAGTTACTGGGGCTGGGAATTGAACCATGTGGTTGGCCATGTGGGATCTGGTTCTCTTAACCCTAGATTACAGGGCCAGCCCTCAAAGTAGTAGCTTTAACTAAAAGTAGTTGGTAATTTTTTTAATTCCACTCGATAAAGTTTTAAGAATGTCAATAATATTCTTACCAGTCATTTCAGTAGTAATTTATTTTTTTTTTCTGAATGTTTTTGTTATTGTATCTAAGAATTCACTTCAAATCCAGGTCTGAATATTTACCCTTATGTTTTGTCTTAAGATTTTTGTGTTTTTTACCTCTTATATTTCGGTTATCAATTGATCTTGAGTTAAATGTTTTATTGGGAGTGAGGCAGGGGTCCAAGTTTATTCTTTTTTAATAGTCTACTCATCTGTCCCAGCATGACTAGTTGATGAGACTATTTTTTCCCATTCAGTTATCTTGGTAACCTTATCAAAAATCAATTGACCCAATGTATGGGTAGATTACAGGACTATGAATTCTATTTAATTTGTCCATATGTATAATGTTATGACAGATTTACACTACATTGGTTACTATAACTTTCTTTTTTTGAGAGACTTTTGCTATAGGGCACGTGCTCTCACCAAAGAGAGATACAGAGAGACAGAAAGTGAGAAATCACCCTCCATGGGGATGGACAACCCACAATCACTTCTTCTCCATTCTCCTCTAGGGATTTTGGGCATGCACACACATATGCCCACCGTAAGTTTTAAGCTGCCAAGTCTGGGATTCAAACCATGGTGGACTACATGGAAGTCCAGCAAAGTAATCATTATTCCATCTGCTGGTTCCCCCCCCCCTTAAAAGAATTATTTACTTACTTAAATTAATTAATTAATTAGCTTATGATTATTTAATTTCCTATA